TAGAGATGAGGTCTCACTGCCCAGGCGGGTCTCGAACCCGTGGGCTCAGGCAATCCACTCACCTCAGCCTCCCAAAGGCGCGGGATTACAGGCTGAGCCACCGAGCCCGGCTTCTTGCTAATACTTATTATGTCTTTTTTATTATAGCCATCTCAGTGGATATGAAGTGGTATCTCATTAAGGTTTTAATTTGCATTTCTCTAATGATGAATGTTTAGCATCATTTCCTGTGCTTACTGGTCATTTGTATTTCTTCTCTGGAGATCTGTCTATTTAAATCTTTTAACCATTTCTTAATTGGGTTACCTTTTTGTTGCTAAGTTTTAAGAGTTATGTATTCTGGACATTAGACTCATCAGATATATAATTTTCAAATATTTTCTCCCATTCTATGGGTTATTTCACCTGATATATTCTTGATATTAATGGAAAAGAACAGATTTAAATATTTCATTAAAAAGTTAACCCCTAGTAGATTATAAACAGAACTGTAGATCCCCCAAACCTTACAGAGGAAAAAAGAGAACACAGAAAATTTAATCTAATTTAGTAGACAAAAAGTCTCTTATTTATTTTGCATTTTCCTGTTTTTTCTATTTTCTTTTCTGAGAATGGCTTCTTTATATCCCTCTTCTGCTGGGTTGCATTTACCCTTCTTTTTTTTCCCTGGAAGGCAAGAGTTTACACACTCTGGATGATAAACAGTTGCTAAATACACTGCAGATATTTTCTCCCAGTCTGTCTCTTACCTTTTACCCTTGCTTACAGTAGACTTTCCCTTACAGAAGTCCTCACAAAGAGCCCTGTTGTCAATGGCACAGTCCAACAGGCTCTAAGAGAAGTTCTTGTCTAATAATCTCTTGGAAGTCTTTGCACCTGTCGAGCCTCTCCCAACTGGTCTAGACGTTCACAAGCACATTCCTGAGTAGTCACTTCAAGTCTGAATCAGAAGCCAATTTTTCAGAACTGATTTCTCACAAACCTACTCCCACTCCCAGGCCTTGGGTCGGCTCGTGGTCTATACCTTCCCTCTCCCACCATTAGGAGGGGGGAGAGAGGGTGGAAGGGAGTTACATATCAATAATGGAGCTTTCAAGGTTTTATTCTTCACAAAACACTTGAATTTGGATGTACAAGGTATCTTACCTGGACAGTGAATGAAAGACCAGTTGTATCTGCTGTCCTCCAGACACATGCTGGAATTAAGAAGGGGCTGTGGGTAGAAATTTCCTGGAGGGGCCTGTGAAGGCATCTTCACTGGTCCTTTAAAGGACCCTTCCATGCATTTTCCTTTGCCAGTATTGCTGGGATCAGTGCACCAGCCACAGCCTGGCTGCTCCAAGCAATGACTACAGGTGCAGTATCCTGAACAATTTTCAGCTATAAAAAAAACACAAGTTGCAATTCAGTATCACAGGTAGATTTGAGTTCACTATATTACCTTTTCCTTTAACAGACTATTCAACTTTTGTGAGTCAAAATTGCTATTCTATCATGAACATTTAAATGAGATACAGAATGGAAAGAACCCATTATTTTGCCCAACACATAATAAGAACCCCTTTCTTCCTCTTTCTAGCCGAGGATGTTGGAGGCAGAAGGGATCTTAGAGGTTATCTACTAAAAAGCACTCACTTTCCAAATTAGGATATAAGCTGTGAGACATTACATGGATGAATAATATGAAACTGAAGGTGGACAAGCTATTTCTGTACTTTCTGATCGATCCTACATTTACTTACTTGTGTCAATGTGTGTAATTCTGCATGAAGGTTCTCATCAGATAGGACTGTCTTAATGGCAGCCTCTGGACAGACTTAAGCAGAAAGCCCAGTCTTGTCCCTAAAGTGTTTAGAGGCTGAGGGTACTACCTCATGGCAGAGCTGTCACCCAGGGCATGTGTGGGTGCCTAGAGTTCACTTTCACTTACGGGGGCAGCTGCTCATTGTATACCACTCCATACATTGGCCGAAAGGGAAGGAGGCCACGTAGGCATTGGAGTCCACACACTGCTTCATGTTGCTGCACCACATACACTCGGAACTGCCGCTGGTGCACTCTCCACATGCTGTCCTCAAGGCACATGGTGTCCGGCACTGCTTGGCACTGTGGTTTGCTGGGAATTAAACCCAAGAGAGACACTTAGAGATTCCCATCCTGTCAGCTCAGGTCAAAGACTCATCAAATGTGGGTTGTTACCCATTAGTGTGTCATGAAATCATCAATTCAGGGACTATGCTAAATGAAGGAGAAAACAGAAAACAATAGAATTCATAATGTACTGTTTAGTCAAGTGCATTTATACACTTGAAGGGAAAAATGGATTTTCTTTTCAAAAAACATTAAAGATAGAGATGAAGGAACAAGCAAATCTTTCCATAGAAACAGAGTTCTAAATCACTTAGAATTTAGGATGACCCAGAATGAACTTCAAGCGTTTTACAATCCACCTGAATATGAAAAAATTTTTTTTGAGTTGGAGTCTCACTCTATTGCCCAGGTTGGAGTGCAGCTTATACTCATGGTCACTACAGCTTTGACCTGCTGGGCTCAGGCAATCCTTCCACCTTAGTCTCTCAAGTAGCTGGAAACAAAAGTGCGCACCACTACACCCAGTTAAGTTTTTGATTTATTGTAGAGATGAGATCTTACCAAGTTGCCCAGGCTGGTCTTGAACCCCTGGACTCAAGCAATCCTCTCGCCTCCACCTCCCAAAGTGCCGGGATTACAGGTGTGAGCTACTGTGTCCAGCTATCTCCCCCCCCCATTTTATCCTCTATGTGATGGTAAGAATATGCAAAATCTTAAGTTTGTAATTGTAGGGGGAAGAAGATCAGGTCACAGCATTAAATTCACCAAAGTATTCTGAATCCCAAAAGGCTGGACAGCTCCCCTAAAGAAGTTTAGAAATCATATTTTAAGGTGATCCTACAATGCTATGAATTTTTTCCTACACCTCTGTGTTCCTCAGACAAACTATAGCACTTTCCTAAAACTTGACATGATGTGAATGGAGTTCAGCCTCCCCAAATAACCCACAATTCCACCTATTGCTGTGAGTCCCTCTGCAGCTGGAAGCTTGTCTTGGGCTTGTCAGTATGCTACAGAGTCTGTCCCCAGGCCTGACTCTATGTAGCTGAAACACAGCCCAGAGAGAGGCTCAAACCTATAAAGCTGCCCAAGCGGCTGTCACTCAATTCTCTCACACAATTCCTCATGGTTCTGATTTGCTTCTGTCTTGTCACAGAACTGCTCTCATCATTTTTCTTCCCACTGATACTATCTTTCTGCACAGTGTCCCTGCAGTGATTTGCTTGCTTTTCTTATCTTTTGTTTTTATTTTCCTTTTTTGTTCTTTCTTCCAGAGAATTTCTCTGCCAACACCAACAAATCAGGCTTTCAGAGAAATTCTCAACACTTTTTGTGGTCAACAATCCAATCAATCTCATTGTTAATTAAAACATTTGATTTTTTGAGTAGTGTTAGTTACTGTTATTTTGGCTTATGGCTCAAACTATTCAGAGCTACAGACTTTTTCTTTCTGCTTCTGAAATTCTGGGTTATATTCTGCTTCATATCCTTGAAATCAACACTCCATTTATTTTCATGACTATTTTACACATCTCCATACTACTATACCGCCTACTGTTTCTCTCTCAATAAACTTCTAAGAGCACCTAATTCACCCGTGTACTCACCAGGCCTTTCGCAGACACTACCATTGAGTGGGTTGATGCAGGTAGCAGCCTTCAGTCCCCGAATATTGGGTTCTGACAAGATTCCACAGAATCCAGCATCACTGGGCTCAGATGGCATCCACTGTAGTAAACTATTTGTAAATGGGGACATATCTTCCCAGCACCAGTAGGATACATTGATCTTCCGAAGGCCAACCCAAGGGGTTAAGGTGAGTTTGGACTATAGGCAAAACAGACACAACTATGACTACAACCAACATTTTTTTTTTTCATTAATCAGTATTTTTTATTATGGTTTTGTGGGGTACAGTTAAGGGTTAGGTGTACAATTACGTTTCATTCAGGCACCCTGTTGATAAGAGGTGTTTTCCCATCCCCCGACAGATATTTGCTACTGTTAATCCCATCACCCTCCCCCCCCATAGTTTCCCAGCACCGTAAGTCATTTTCTTATAGTATTGCATTGGATGTTCAAGGTCCATTATATGAGTGAGACAACCAACATTTTTACATCATTTGGATAAAAAAACACTAAGTTAGGTATGCCCCACAGATAGGAAAGCCTATTCCCTGATTCAGTTGTGGCAGATTAGAGTAGATCATCAGTTCAATATGGCTACTTTACAAGGGACAAAAATATAGCTCAGAGAAGATAATATATCAAAAATTTCACAGAAATTATAGCAAGCCAAAAATCAAGTTCCAAAACTTTTATTTATTTATTTATTTTTGAGTTGGAGTCTCACTCTGTCGCCCAGACTGGAGTGCAGGGGTCGCTCCCGGCTACCGCAGCCTCGACCTGCTGGACTCCGGCAATCCTTCCACCTCAGCCTTCCAAGTAGCTGGAACTACAGGCGCGTGCTACCATGCCAGGCTAATTTTTTTTTTTTATTTATTGTAGAGATAAGGTCTCACCAAGTTGCCCAGGTGAGTCTCGAACCCGCGGGCTTAAGCAATCCACTCACCTCAGCCTCCCAAAGTGTGGGATTACAGGTTGAGCCACCGAGCCTGGCTTCCAAAACTTTTATATGACAAATGCTATGAAGAGATGGCTAACTCCAATTTTGATTTAAATGCCCACTCATATATAAGATCATCTTAACAATATTTATAAAATATTGTTTATATGCCTATCCTCAGATGATTAACTAAGCTTGTTTGGGGGCCCTGACTGGTTCAGATGATTGAAGAGTCCCATCTTTAGCCATGAAGTTCTGCTTGGTGCTGGAATTGGTTTCCCCAGCTTCGGTGAGGTATAATTGACAAGTATTGTATTTATTTAAGATGTACAATGTGATTTTTTGATATCTGTACACCCTGTGTAATGATTACCACAATCAAGCTAATTAACATATCCATCACCTCACATGCTACCAGTGAGTGTGTGCATGTGTGTGTGTGCGTGCGTGTGGTGAGAACATTAAAAATCAACACTTAGCAAATTTCATGTATACGGTACAATATTATTGACTACAGTCACCATGCTGTACATTAGCTATCCAGAATTTATTTATCCTATATACCTGAAACCTTGCACCCTTTGACCAACATCTCCCTATTGCCCTGCTTATTCAAGCCCCTAGCAGTAACCATTCTACTGCTCTCTACTTCAATGAGTTAGATTGCTTTAGATTCCACATATAAGCAAGAGTATGCAGTATTTGTCTTCCTGAGCCTGGCTTATCTTATTTCACTTAGCATAATGTCTTCCAGGTTCATCCATGTTTTGGTAAATGACAAAACTTCCTTTTTTATTTTTTTTAAAGCTGAATTGTATATACATATAGACTGAATATCCTTAATCTGAAAATTCGAACTCTGAAATGCCCCCAAATCTGAAACTTTTTGTGTGCTGACATTTCACTCAAGGGAAATGCTCACTGAAGCATTTTAGATTTCAAGTTTTCGGATTAGGGACGCTGCACTCGTAAGTACAATGCAAATATTCCAAAATCTGAAATCTAAAACATTTCTGGCCCCAAACTTTTTGGATAAAGGATATTCAACTTGTAACACATTTTCTTTGTCCATTCATCCAACTTGGCACTGAATTTTATAGAGAAAAATAGGACAGCAAATCCCCAGGATGGTCTCTGTCTTCTACTCTCCTAAACTTTCCTTTTCATTGTAATTTTTAAAAACAATTAAATTAAAGTATAAAATTCAACCCAGAAATGTTTTGGCAGTTACAAAACAAAATAAACAATAGATTGCCATTTTTAATAGGAAAAACACACTGCCTATTAAAAGACCTAAAAAGATTCCAAAGTAGTTATATTTAATTGTAATAATGTATAATATTTAGTTTCCTGTCTTTATTGTGTCTTCTAAACTTCCTTTGAATTTCTGTTTAAAAAAAGATAATTAAAGTCAGTGTTTGCTAACTCCAACTCAAAAACAAACAAACAAACAAAAAAACGCTTCAATACTATATTTGCCTTCACGATAAAATTCAGAGTCATTAGCATTGTAGCCAAGGCCTCTGAGGATTTAGCCTTGATCTTTTCTTAGACGAAGCTACAGCAACTCTCTTTCGTCCAGCCTGAAGTTGGCCATGCAAGCGTACCTGCAGCTCACTCAGTGAGCCACTGCCTCAAGCTCATTGCATCTTGCACAAGGGGGCACAAATGCCCAGGAAATCTTTCCTTCATCAATTTCCCAATTCACTCCCTCTCACCTCCAGGGGTTACCTCTTCCCAGCTCTCTACCAGTCAGCTTCTGACATAAGCCTAAGCTGGATACCCTTTCTTGCTTTTCCATACAAATCCGGGCTCTCCCGACTGGGCCACATCTAGAGTTATAGATGTAGAAGCACATTACACTTTAGTTGTCTCTCATCAGTCTTATCATAACACTGCAAATTTCTGCTTTATAGAGGTGGTCACAGTGGATTAGACTACCCAGAACCAGAACACCTGAGGAAGAGAGAAAAGAGACCAGAGTTTTATCTGTGGCCAGTGAGGATGGTTGAACCCTTCTATCCAGTATTCTTTCAGAAACATGGATTCAAGAGTCACTGGTAGAGACACTAAAGTAGTGGGCAAAGCTGTGAGCCATCCATTTTCTGAGACAGTGAATGACTGTGTAAAGTCAGCTAGAGGGAAGAATGCTGGGAGAGGTCCACATCTGGAGGTGAGGAGAAAAAAAGAAACAACACAGTCTTCAGTGGAGATTATGAAATTAGAAAAAGTTAACAAAATATGGAATACCAAATGTGGCCACCGTGTCATCCCCTGTGGTAAGCACACTAAGAACGTTTTGTCAGCATTTCGGTGTCCGCACCACCTCAAATCTGCACTGGAAAAAAGGACTAATTGGAGAAAAATAAAATATAGGACACCTTTCACCAGTCTCAGAATGGCTCTTCAGGTGGTACACAGACCACATGTAGCCAGGAGGAAGGCTGCACCCAAGGAGTACTGCCCTCAACTCCTCTGTTTAACAGTAAGAATATTTCCACCACAGTTCTCTGTATCACAGCCAACATTGCTGAAAGAGCTCTGTTCTATAATTAGCTACTTAACTGAGGATAGAATCACAGTTCTAGGACTTTGGACTAAAACCAGCAAAATGTGATTGTGGAATATCAACTGCAAGCTGCCTAAGAGCACTGGGTGAACAGAAAGAGAACTTGAACCTTTGTGAGCTCAGAAACTCTTGAAGAGAAGAGAATTCTTTGGGCTGGCCAGGTCTAAGAAAGACCCAAAAAGATGTACATGTCAAGCAGCAATCAGATAGCATCATGCACTATAAAAATACCTTAAATCCAGGGAACTCTGGTGGCTTAATCCAACCTAGCTAATTAGTAGTGACCTCTCCCTTCTCCCCAGCAGAATCTAGAGATAAAGCAGGTCTGAAATCATCTGCTGATGTCACTATAGCAGGTGCACATATACATAAATTTTACTATTTCTCCCACATGTAATTATTCATAGATCTTATAATTTATTTAATAGATATGACTAATAAAAATGTACAAAGTATTACAATTTTTTAAGATAAGAAAAAACGCACTAAAGGAAGAAACCGGGACAGCATAGTTCCACAGTCTATCATGCTGTGTACACTGGCATTCCCCCTCTTGCTGAGCACATCACATGTGTCCACAGCCTTCTACAGGCAAGCCGCAGTCATGCTCTTAGCAGAAAGGCAGCTACTAGAAACTTACGTTCTGAGGATGTTAACTCACCATGCTCTGTGATGCCTGCATGATTCGCAGCTGCTTAAGGACAAATTCTACCTTCTTCTGGGTTGTAAGAGAAGCCAAAAACGCATTGTGGTTCCTACAGGACAATTTAGCATTGTCATAAGTCTCCTTGGCAGTAGTAATTTTCAAACATGAGTTTCCAACCAAATGCCAACCAACGCCACAGATATTTTCTTTTGAAAAGGGAAAAGAGAAAAATAAAGTTTTAGAAATCACACAAACTAATGTATTACTAGTTCACATTGCTGAAGACCTAAATGATCTTTGTGATTTAAATTCTACGTACTTCATCAGGATGTAGTGAGGGCATCAGACACATTACTAACGATCAAATACACAAGTTTAAAAAAGTTTACCAGTCATATCTCCCGGATCTCAAGAAGTGTATTCTTAGGCAACCTTTTCTATATCTTAGAGGAAAATACCAGTTTATTGTCAATGTTAGACTGGTAAATCTCCTTTAAAGAACAATTAGAAAGAAGTCTAAATCTTGACTGAAGAGCAGACAAGAGTACACATATTTGATGGACGGGGTAGAAAACTGCAAGAATACAAATGAATTAGGAAATGAACAAATCTTGTCTCCAAAAGCTGCATTGTTTTCAGGTCATCAGATAGAAGGTATAATCAAGTGCACAAAGCATCCCAAAAGTAAGGTGAGAAGATTCTTCTTGGGAAAAGACCAAAGTGATATGCTACAGTACACAAGGCCAGTTTGTCATCTGCTATGTATTATCATCCTGAACCCACACAAGGTATTACACAGAAGCAATAAATGCTTCCTAGAAGATAATGATTGAGTAAAGCATCTTCACCAGAACCAAAATACACTGGAGATATCAACAATGTTCATGAACAGTTAACAGTCACTGAGATAAATGAAAGATATCAAGAGAAAGAGATCATTTAAGAGCAGATAAAGACTTGCTACTCAAAGTGTGGCATCAGCGACTAGTTAAAATGCAGACTCTAGGGCACCATATCAGTCTTATATCAGAATATGCCTTTTAGCAAGATTCTCAGGTGTTTTCCTGTACATTAAAGTTTGAGACACGCTGGGCTCGGTGGCTCAGCCTGTAATCCCACGCTTTGGGAGGCTGAGGTGAGTGGATTGCCTGAGCCCGCGGGTTCGAGACCCGCCTGGGCAACTTGGCAAGACCTCAACCCTACAATAAATCAAAAAATCAGCCGGGCGTGGTAGCGCAGGCCTGTAATTCCGGCTACTTGGAAGGCTGAGGCGGAAGGATTGCCGGAGCCCAGCAGGTCGAGGCTGCGGTGGCTGGGAGCGGCCACTACACTCCAGTCTGGGCAACAGAGTAAGACTCCAACTCAAAAAAAAAAAAAAAAAAATTGAGACACACTGAGATAAAGAGCAAGAAGCCCAACTGCAAGTTGAATCCAATACTTCTAAAGGATATTCAAAAGGCCCCAGGCCAGGTGTGTAATCCCAGCACTTTGGGAAGCACAGAAAGGAGGATTGCTTGAGTCCAAGAGTTCAAGACCAGCCTAGGCAACATAGTGAAACCTAATCTCTATGGAAAAAAAATTATAAAAATTAGCCAGGTGTGGTGGCATATGTCTGTGGTCCCAAGCTATTCAGGAGGCTGAGGTGGTAGAAGGATCACCTGAGCCCAGGAGGTCAAGGCTGCAGTGAGCCATGACTGTGCAACTGCACTCCAGCCTAAGTGACAGCATGAGACCTCAACTCAAAAAAGAAAACAAAAAAAGAAAAAGGGGGGTGGGGGCCTGGTCCAGTCAACTGCCCTACACATGCTTCAGATGTTGTGCAGAGCCAAGGAAGTTCCCCTTTCTGGACATTCTGGTTGAGCAAATCGAGTACAGGGTTTAGCCAAGGCTGGCTGGTCCCAGAACCCAAACTCGTCATCCCTAACCTCAGATATACCATATATTGAGGTATTCAGGGCTAGAGATCATCCCAAAAGGTGCTGCTGACAGAAGTATCTCTTCTCTACTTCCTCTCACAAAATACCCCTCAGTAGGTGCTGACAACCAAATCCAATTGTCAATTACAAAGTGCTGAGCAGACTGGCTGCTGAGACTCCCCTCTAGTCTCAGGTTGTCACAACTGGGTGGGGAGGGTACAGTGGAACAGGTTGAGTGATATGGAATTGATTGGCCACTTGATTCTCTAGAGCAGCAGAGGATGCTTCACTTTATTTCAAATGACAGTAGGAGCAAATACTTTTAACTTTAAAAAATAACCATAATACTGATGTGGGGGGTGGTAAATTGGCAAAATTAACTTTTCGCCTCTACTAAGGTTCCACCTAGGCTGCACAATACTTGGGGCAGGGGGTGAAGTTTTGGACCCACACACACCAAGATGACCCTGGAAGGCCTACCAGGCAGGGCAATGCACTCCTGATTCCGGGGCTCCCACTGGCAGTTCTGGTCCAGGGCACAGCTCCTGCAGCTGGTCTTCTTGTTGCAGTAGTACATGGGGTTATCCTTGGGGCAACTCTCATACCTGGAAATGGAGATCTAGAACAGAGTAGACAAAAGTTTTTCTCTTATATCCACAGAGAGAACTCATGTTGAAGACCAAAAGTACACTAAAGACAACAACATCTGATTGAGGAAGCAAAGTATGAGAGAGAGAGAGAGAGAGAGAGAGAGAGAAAGAGAGAGAGAGAAGATGCAGATGTTCTGCTCAAGGACATGCTTTTAGCCAGCAAGGAAGCAGCCCACTCTTTTAAATACCATGCCACAGGCTGCTATTCTGTAAAATGGGAATGCTAAACTTGCTGCTTTTCAAATGTTCCCAACAGCCTAAAAGCTTTCTATTTTATAATTGCACTACATGAACAAAATTGTCCTATAAACTGTCAAAACTATAAAAGCTGGGTCATCTTGTATTATAACAAATTTTAAAATCGTATATAGTGAGGAGTGAAGTCATGCTGAAACAAGCTATTAGACAAGGAGATTTTGTAGTCTGTCATGTCCACAATTCGATATGGACTGCTACACATCTGACTCACTCTCAGCAAATCCTAACTTGCTACCAAAACCTTGCACAAGTAGAGTGAGGTGGTCATCAGATAGATGGCTCAATCCAAGGATCCAGTACTTAAGTCACAGTCATGCCCAGGGACAACAGTCCTTAGACAATAGTCTTACTTTCTTCTAAGACACACACAAATCCCTGTGGCTAGTTAAGACCTTGAAATCAGGATGTATAGAGCAACTCTTCCTAAAGGAGAACCTGAGTGAGCAATACTAAAATCCAAATTTACACTTGTCTTAAAAAGAACTCTAGGTCATTATCCCATACACACTACAAAACCTAAACCTATGACCAGAGTTTTTTTTATCCCCTGAAATTCTTGAGAAATGTCCTCTGACCTGGCCTTCTGTGCAGCTGTGGTTCATGGGGACACAATGGTCATTGCACCAGTGGCAGTCATTGGTGTTGGCCGTGCAGCTGTAACAATCTGTGTGCTGGTCACATCTGTCATGGTCAAGAGCTATAAAGAGAAGACAGTCTCATCAGCTGGGACAGCTTCAGTTCAGCACAATCTGAGATAGGTTACAAAAATTAACAATGGCTGGGAAGCAAAGTAAAGAGTGAGACTTGCAAGAAAATATATTGGTATGTTTCTATTAAAATAAGATTAGGAATAAGACAATCTGAAGAAATACTGTTTCATACCCCAAAAAAAGGTACAGAGAAAGTGAAAAAACAAGACAGGTTAATTTAACAACAACTGCAGGACTTAATGAAAGCAAAGTCTGGCACTTTGAATACTTTTCTTCCCAAGAAGAAAATCAACCACTGACCAGGAGCCAAACAGTAATGTAGGAGACCAAGCCACAGCCTTATAAATACACAGCTAATATGGGCACGAGAAGTAGGCAGCACCATAGAATCCCACAGGAGGCACTGGGCTAAGCTATATTTTGTATGCATATGTAAATTAAAGAGTGCATATTTGAGAACTTCTGGGCTACCATAGACCTGTTGTATCTCCTGTTGACCCTAAAAAAGAGAAGCTACACAACCACACTGTCTCATCTATCAAACCATCTTGTGGACATAGCACAAAGTAGAATCCACAGGCAGGAGAAAGGCAGGGCCCACCCTCACAAAGGCCCCAGGAGTCTGCTCCTTAAATTGCTTTTCCTATCCTGATCATCATCTCAAGGACTGCCCCCCACAGGAAGTAGAGTGAAATAGGGAACTGACACTTTAGGTGAGATTACAGCAAATGGGTCATACTGAAACAACTTAAGTAATTCAATATTATTTGCCATAAACTCGCACACTTCGTTAGAACATTCTTTTATTTGGTTAAAAAAAATAGCCGGGCTCGGTGGCTCAGCCTGTAATCCCACACTTTGGGAGGCTGAAGTGAGTGGATTGCCTGAGCCCGCGGGTTCAAGACCCGCCTGGGCAAGTTGGCAAGACCTCATCTCTTCAATAAATCAAAAAATTAGCCGGGCGTGATAGCACGCGCCTATAGTTCCAGCTACTTGGAAGGCTGAGGCAGAAGGATCGCTGGAGCCCAGTAGGTCGAGGCTGCGGTGGCCGGCATGCCACTGCCCTCCAGTCTAGGCGACGGAGTAAGACTCCAACTCAAAAAATAAAAAAATAACAATTTCACGGATTTTATCCCATTTTGGAGAGAATGACTAACCCTGCCAGGTTCTGGTTAATCCTGGTTCTTCAGCACCCACCAAGCCACCAACACACCTGGGAGGGCTGCCCAGGTGTTCTTACTGAGGATTTGTGTTCCTGGGTAGCTTAATGTCCCAGGAGAAGGAAAGCTGCCGCCACCCATCATAATTCTCACACTAGCTGCAACACTAGTCCTACTAGTTGAGAAATTCAGTCAACATACTTCAAATTAATTGGTGTGAACAAATGTTTTGTAGAGACATTCTCCTTACTTTTAAAGAACTTTCTCATGCATTACTTCACTCGATTGTACCGTGCTCTATGTCAGGAAGAATGAAGAAAACAGCTTGGAAAATATAAGGGAAGTTCCAGAAGCAAGGGTCACTACTCATCCTCAGCAACTGTCTGTCTTGCTCACTGCTGTATCCAACTAGAGGAGCTAGGGCAAGAATATTCTGCAAGGACATCATCACTCCCTCAATCCACCAATACAATTTACTTCAACATGGCTTTTCTGACTCTCCTCATTTCATCCTTACATTACATCTGCATAACCCAATATGGTAGCCATTAGCCACAGGTGGTTTTTAATTAAAATAAAATAAAATAAAAAATTTAGTTCCTCAGTCACATTAGTCACATTTTTAAGTGTTTGATAGCCCCATGTGGCTAGTGGCTATCAAACTGGGACAGTCCAGATATAGAACATTTCCATCTCTTCAAAATAAAGCTCTGCTGGATGGCACTGCCTCAGGTTCTGGAACTGTGGCCAGTTCTGGCAATGGTATGCACAGCCTATGCAATGCCAAGAAGGTTATGTCCCCATCATTCACAGACTGCTTCTAGGAGCCACATGGCATGTTCTCATCCAAGATGTTTATAAACCAATTTTTAAACACCCTCCAAAAAAGCTTTGCACAAGTTATTATATAAATAATTTTGGATAATAAGGTGCACATAAAAAGTATATATATGTTAAATTCCTTCACAATTCAGATAAATTGAAATTTCAAATTCATTAAATTCTAGGTAGAGAAGAAACATACTTCTTTTGGAAAAACATTCTGATTTTAACTTTTCTTGTTGTTCATCAGTTGCCAACTCCCAGGAGATACACTGAGATGACCCTGTGTCCCACACACACCGAACACCAGGTCCTGCTGCTAAACAAGCGGCTTCACTGCTGTGTGCATCACACTGTTGTGAGGTGAATACCAGGATGTCGCTGAGGAGGAGACTGTTGAAACCACCAAACACATACATGGTGCTAAGAAGAAAAAAGGAAAAGAGGGAATTTACTAAAGACTTAAATAACAAGTGCATGATACACTATTTCTTTTTTTCTTTCTTTTGTTCATGAGACAGGTCTTTCTAAGTTGACAAGGCTGGTGTTAAACTTCTGGGTTCAAGAGATCCCTTGCCTCAGTCTCTTGTGTAGTTGAGACTACAGGAACATGCCACCATACCCAGCTACCATGATATACTTTTTACAGACAATCAATCCTCAGACAAATCTTTTATGTTATAAATTGTCTAAGAAATTATTTTGCAAGGTCTTAAAAACATTCTTATTCCCTTCTCTTACAAATTCTACCCTTTCATCCTGGCCTGTGACCACCCAGAATAGTTCCAATAATCTATCTACTCTTCACAGCTACTATATTAAAAAGTTCTCATAATGCCTTGTGACTTTTAACCATGAGTCCCTGAAATAGTTTAGTGTCATAGTATGCTAACATATTTTAAAGATAAACATAATTCTATATCTACATGTTTTAAAATATAAAAGTATCAATGTAAAATTTTAAAAGCATAGATAAAGTCTATAATTAAAGCTGTGTCACACTGGTCCATGAATACATAAATCAATCAGAAACAGATAAAAATACACATGGAAATTTAGTACACAGTAAAAGTGCATCCCAAATTAGTGAAGGAAAGATGGACTTTTCAGTAAATGGTATTGAGATAACTAAACATATGGAAAAATAATAAATTTGTTTCGCTTCTGTATGGAAGGAGGTACCTATAGAAACCTAGAATAAACTTAGTTTAGCATAGTTTTTTTTTGCCTCAGCATAGCCATTTTTGCTTAGACTTTACTCCTGACACACTTTGAATCTAGCACAGGTTAGACACAGACAAGATAAATTTCCAATAAGCAGGTTTTAGGAGGCGTTCAGACATTTTAAAATTACATTTTTATGGCAGGCCAAGTGGCAGCCTCCCCCTCCCCCTCCCCCTCCTCCTTGGCAAATCTCCATCAGATGCAAGACAAGGACAGCCCAACAACCCAACCTTTCAATTCATAGTTTAGCATGATAATCTCTAGGAAACTTTTAGGTTCCTTACCAAAAGTGGAAGGGCCAAAGATAACCCCTTGGCTGGCAGAAGCCATAGAAATGACAATAAGGCCATCTTACTTTTTAAAATTTTTTAACTTTTAATTTTAAAGATGTGGGGTACAATTCAGGGTTAGGTATACAAATGTTCATTATGCAAGTACCCTTGTTGATGAGGTGTGCCCCCCGCCCCTGGCAATTTCCCACTACTGCCAATCCTTTTCTTATAGTATTATGATAATTGTTCAAGGTCTGCTTATGAGTGAGAACATAAGTTTCTGTGACAGATCACTAAATCCATCCAAGTCCATGTGTGTATCATTCTTTATGGCTGCATAATATTCCATTGTGTATATGTACCACATTTTTTTTATCCAGTCCAGTTTCGATGGGCAGCACGGTTGGTTCCATGTTTTTGCTATTGTGAATAGTGTTGCAATAACCATGCATGTGTAGGTATCTTATAGAGTGATTTGAGTTCCTCCAAGTATATTCCCAATAGTGGGACTGTTGGGTCATATGGAAGGTCAATTTCTAGTTCTTTCAGAAATCACCACACCATTTTCCAAAGAGGTTGCACCAGTTTGCATTCCCACCAGCAGTGCAGAAGAGTTCCTTTTTTTCTCTGCATCCTCACCAGCATCTGTTGTTGTTTGTTTTATTAATGATGGCCATTCTTACTGGGGTTAGGTGGTACCTCAAAGTGGTTTTAATTTGCAATTTTCCTCTGATGATTAGCGAGGCTGTGCACTTTTTCATATGTCTGTCGGCTACCCATATCTCTTCTTTTGAGAAGAATCTAATTCATGTCTTTTGCCCACTTTTTAAAGGGGCTGTTTGTTTTTTTCTTTCAGTACATTTGAGTACCTTATAGATCCTGGAAGTTATACCTTTGACAGACATACAGTTGGCAAATATTTTTTCCCATTCTGTGGGCTGTCTCCTCAAACTCTTGATGGTTTCTTTTGCTTTGCAAAAGCTTTTCAGTTTGATGAGGTCCCAATTGTCTATCTTATCTCTTATGGCAAGGGCACTTGGGGATTTGATCAGGAATTGGTTGCCAGTTCCAATTTCCATAAGGGTGTCTCCTGCATTTTCTAAGGTTCTTATAGTTTGAGGTTTTATGTTTAGGTATTTGATCCATTTAGAGTTGATTTTTGTGTATGGTGATAGGTAGGGGTCCTGTTTCAATCTTCTGCATGTGGTCAGTCAGTTTTCCCAGCACCATTTACTGAATAGGTTCTCCTCTCCCCAGTGGTTGTTGCTGGAGGCTTTGTCAAAGATCAGGTGGCTGAAAAATTGAGGTTTTGCTTCTGGAATCTCTATCCTGTTCCATTGGTTCATATGCCTATTGTTGTACCAATATGAGGCTGTTTTGATTACGGTAGCCTTATAGTAAAGTTTGAAATCTGAAAGTGTGATACCTCCTGCTTTGCTTGCTAAGGATTGTTTTGGTTATTCGTACTTGCTTATGTTTCCATGTGAATTTCTGTATTGTCATTTCCGGTCTGAGAATAATGATGTTGGTAATTTAATGGGTATTGTGTTGAATCTGTAGATTGCCTTTGGTAGGATGAACATCATAGCAATGTTGATTCTTCCTATCCACGAACATGGAATATTTTTCCATTTGTTTATGTCTTCTTGGATTTCTTTGAGCAGTGTTTTGTAGTTAAGACCACCTTTTAGTCAAGAAACTTGTGAATTGAAAACATCTGACAGGTCTCTTGCAGGAAAAACCCCTCTGGGCCCAAATCTCCAAGTTAACCTAATCAGCCCTTCATGACCTTCATGTCATAGACAGATCCCACCACCAAGGCAGCAATCATGTGACTAACCCACCCATCTGTCTGCAGTCCATCACCTGATGTCAGTATCTGCACTTACCTGCCCTTTTGTGATGATGTGGAGCAGACCACTAACCAATCACCTTAATGACCTTCCCTCATCAAAGGGAAGGATTAAAAGAACTCAACCACAAGCAGTCGTTTGCCATTGCCTTACTAGACTCTGGTGCGGTCATGTGCTCTTTGAGTTATGGCTGTCACCATGTTTCCTGACTTGGCCCCCTTTCCTACCTTGGGGAAGTGAATCTTCTTTTTTGCTCTCTAATTTACTTTCTAAATAAACTACATTTTCTAAATCTAACTTCTGTGCAATTCTTTGCATCTTTCATGCACCATCAGATTGCACACCAGATATCCAAACCCCCCAGAGGGCCTAACCTAACATTCTGAAGACTGGGAGATGTGACACTAACGTTTTTGGAGGTCCACTGAGACCTAACACTATATAACAAGATAAATTCCCAATGGACCAAAGAAATACCTAAAATAAACAAGCCCCACACGTACTAGAAGAAATAATGGGTCAACTTCTCTATAACCTGAGAGTATAAAAAACATCACTATGACTTAAAATCCAGATGGCAGAAAAAACCCAGAAGAATCTGATTAAATAAACTTACAAGTTTTTACATAGAAAATAATGCTGGCTCATCCTGTAATCCCAGCACTTTAGGAGGGCGAGGTGAGTGAATTGCCTGAGCCCGCGGGTTCGAGACCTGCCAGGGCAACTTGGTGAGACCTCATCTTTACAATAAATCAAAAATTAGCTGGGCGTGGTAGCGCGCGCCTGTAGTTCCAGCTACTTGGAAGGCTGAGGCGGAAGAATTGCCGGAGCCTAGCAGGTCAAGGCTGCGGTGGCCAGAAGCGGCCACTGCACTCCAGTCTGGGCAACAGAGTGAGACTCCAACTCAAAAAAAAAAAAAAAAAAAAGAAAGAAAGAAAATAATGCTGTAAGCAAAGTAAAACAACAGAGACACTATGAAAAAAAAATTTACAAGTTATAGGAAAAGGAATACCACTAACATAGAGAAGGCTTCAGCCAGTTTGCAGAAAAAAATACAAATGACCCTAAACATATGAAAAGATGCTCAATTTCAGTGCAAGAAAATTGCAAATTAAAACTACACTGAGGGGCCAGGCACAATGGCGTATACCTGTAATCCCAGCACTTTGGGAGGCTTGAGGTCAAGAGTATGAGACCAGCCTGGGCAACATAGCGAGACCCAATATCTACAAAATACCTACAGTGAGAAAGACTTTCTTACCTAAAAACTGGAAAAGAACAAAAACATAACAGTTTGACAATATACAGACTGGTGAAGGCAACGGGGCAGTAGGCACTTGTGCACCATACTGCTGGGCAAGTAAAATGGGGCAAGTATACAGAGGGAATGTGGCAATCTCTAACAAAATGATGCGTCTACTTTTGGAACCTGAAACCACATTTCTAGACATCTATCACAATAGTAAAATATAAAAAGAAGTATACATTAATGATGATAGTCACTACAACATTAATGATGATAGCAAAAGACTCAACCCAAAATGTCCATCAATTAAAAATGGGACGAATAAACCATAAATGCATCTCCCCCCTCATGATGAAATAGTAGGCAGATGTAAAAAGAAATGAGGAAAATTTCTACATATTGCTGTGGTGTGATCTCTGGGGTATACTGTTATATGGGGGAAAAGTGAGATGCAGAGAGAAAAGTATTTAGAGTGTGTGGCCATTTACCTAATGAGGGAAAGAGATCAAACACACAAACACACACAATTCATTTTTCTTTTCAAAACAAGAACAATAGTTTTTCTTTAACCTGTTTTCTTAAAAGCTCTAGAAACAATGACTGTCCCAGTAGCAATCAATACAACTAATACTTAGGTTATGGTATCTAAAAATCATCATCTCCTTTCCCTCCATCCTTCAAAACTAGAATTTTCTAGAGAAAAATTTCATGTCAGGATCAAGAAATGTTTATAATGAGTCTAGAAGATCTTGTTATACTAGAAAGAAAGGAAGACTAGGGTAGTGCCAAACAGATTCAAGAGCTAACATAAAGAAGTCCTCACGGGCTAAAGATGGAAGGTGTTTGAAATTTAATAAGCATAAAAACTACAATGGATCGAAGCACACTAAATATTTGTAAATCTATGAGTTCACAATGATACATGTCCTCCAACCCCCAACAGAAACCTCATTTTGTCACCTTTGGACAATGAGAAAAAGTTAGTTCATCATTTTGAAAATTGAGATCTGTAAATAAAGACAATGAATTAACCCTACTATGAATTGATCTTGCCAAAATAACTAAAGAGAATCTGATCGAGCTAATCTGTAGGTAATTCAAGAGAGAGAGAGAGAGAGAGAGAGGGCCAATATGTTACTTTAAAGCATGTTATACAGTAACCAAAATGTGGACTACAGAAAATTCAGCAGGACAAACAACCCAGACTCTTTAACGAATACAGGGGAAAATGATGGGTGGTAGCCTATAGCAAGAGGAACTTAGAAGACATCTTAACCAATTGTAATATATGGATCTAATCAGGATCCTGATTTGAATAAATCAAACAAAAAAATTATAAGACAGTTGGGAAATTTGAACAAAGAATGGGCACAGAGTGATATTAAAGAATTACTACTTTATAGCTGGGCACAGTGGCTTATGGCTGTAATCCCAGCAGTTTGGGAGGCTGAGGTGGGAGGATTGCTTGAGCCCAGGAGTTCAAGACCAGCCTAGGCAACATAGTGTGAGCTCATCTCTACAAAAAATAAAAATAATAATCTGGGCATGATGGTGCACACCTATAGTCCCAGCTACTTGGGAACCTAAGGAAGAAGGATCTCCTGAGCCCTGAAGGTTAAGACTACAAAGAGCTATGATTGTGTCACTGCACTCAGCCTGGGAAACCAACTCAAAAAGAAAAATAATTACTTACTACACTTTTAAAAAGAGTAATTGTATAGCGTTTGTGTTTTAAAAAGTCTCTATCTTTAAAAGATACTCAGTCAATCCTCATTATAATCATGTGCTGCATAATGTCGTTTTGGTCAATGTCGGATGGCATGTAAGATGGTGGTCATCCAGTAAGCTAAGGTTAATTTACTATTAAAAAGGAAAAATATATTTTAAAATAAATGCAATGTAGCCTAAATGTGCAGTATTTATAAGTCTACAGTAGTTGAGGCAGGATAGCTAGCACAGGTTAGACATAGATAAGTTTCCCATAGGTAGGTTTTAGAAAGTGTTTAGACATTTTAAAAATTACATTTTACTTCAGGCCAAGCTGCAGCCTGCCCCACCCCCAAGACATATCCAAAGAAAACTCCATCAGATGCAAGAATAGGACAGCCCAACCTTAGAGATGTCAATCTCCAGAGTGGCAGTTATCTGATCTCCACCCTCTTGAGTATATCACTGTGAAGGTATGTCAGGTCTACTGTAAAGAGTAAAAGTGCAATTTCTTTTGCCCATGTCAGCTCTGGCATGTCTCCCTTCTTTCTCTAATAAACTCTGTTTGAAAACTTTGCTGGTTGCTCCAAAATTCATTTTAGAAATAAGCCAAAGAATTCACAGGTTTTGCACTGCACCCCACCCAGTATTGGTAGTGAACTGAAATATCCTAGGCCTTTACATTCACTCACTGACTCACCAAGAGTTATGGTGAGTGCCCTATACAGGTGTACCATTTTTATCTTTCATATTGCATCTTCACTGTACCTTTTCTGTGTTTACATATGCTTAGATACACAAATACTACTGTGTTGCCTACAGTATTCAATACAGTAACATGCTGTAGAGGGCAGTAACCTAGAAGCAATAGGCTGTACCACATAGTCTAGGTGTGTAGTAGGCTCTGCCATCTAGGTTTATATGAGTAAATTCTATGATGTTCACGCAACAATGAAATCATCTAAGAATACATTTCTCAGAACATAGCTCCATCATTAAGTGACACATGACTCTATTTGCAGATTCCATATTTGCAAATTCACCTACTTGTAAAATTTATATCTCCAAAATCAATACTTGGAGCTGTTTCATGGTAATTCACCAGCACATACATGCACAAATTTGAGTTGGCAAACATGCACATTCCCAGCCAAGGTCAAACAAGGTGATTCTTCTTCTGTTTTTTGAGTTGGAGTCTCACTCTGTCGCCCAGACCGGAGTGCAGTGGCACACTCATGCCATCCCAGTGTCAACCTGCTGGGCTCCGGTGATCCTTCCACCTCAGCCTTCCAAGTAGCTGGAACTACAGGTGTGTGCTACCACTCCTGGCAAATTTTTTATTTATTGTAGAGATGAGTTCTCGCCAAGTTGCGTGGACTGGTCTCGAACCCACGGGCTCAGGCAATCCACTAACCTCAGTCTCCCAAAGTGCTGGGATTACAGGCTAAGCCACTGAGCCTGGCCCGAGTGATTCTTGTTTCAGCTCTCATACTAGTAGTAATAAGTGTCCCTTTCATGATTTATTTAGTGCAGTTTTTTTTTTTTTTGCATTTTTGTGCTTATGTTGGTGGTTTCACGTTCAAGATGGCCCCCATGCAGTGCTAAAGAGCTGTCTAGTGTTCCTAAGTGTAAGAAGGCTATGATGTGTCTTATAAAGAAAACACGTGTTAGATAAGCTTCATTCAGGCATGACTTAAAGTGCTGCTGGCCGTGAGCTCAATGTTAATTAATGAGAAATATATAGTAAATAAGATGTCTTTAAATAGAAACACACATAAAACAAGGTTATGATGAAAATGTTGTGATTAGAGGCTCACAGAAACTCAACTCTGTATTTCCCCCAGAAGCAATAATTCAATATTTACTAATTCAGTGTTTGTGGTAACTTTATAGAACTATAATGAATAATGAACATCAACAGTAATCTAAAATATGTACCGCATATAACAATAACCTAAAAAAATAAATACCAGGTTTTGTTTTTAACCTTGCCATTAGCTTACTTGTATCACATCAGCCAGGCTCATTCAACTAGTTAATCTGTTACTTAAACCAAATAAGCTCCCTCCTCCTGCCACACAGTTGGTGTTCTAGCAATTGTGAATGCATCCGGTTACACAGAGGCTCAGAGCTGGCCCAGAGAGGCACAGCTGATCTCTTGCTGCCTCAGCACCTCACAGCCCTCCCTTCTTCTTCCTTCCTGCCTCCCTCAAAACCACAACAATTAAGAGACACACAGCTGACCCAATACTGACGACCCACTTAAAACATGAAGAAATTATGTGTATCAAAGTTTCTCTTTCAGTAAATTATCTTATAGAATTAACCCCAAACCATGACCTTTTAGTACATGGTCTCCCACATGTTCCCTGCCTGCTCTAATCCTACCTCATACGCACAGATCACACAGCAGAATTCAAACACACCACTGGAATTACATTAAAATACAAACACTATTACAATGCACACAAGCCAGTCCCAATTTTGATTCACAGTTAAACTACATTTTAAGGTAAGCTGTCAATTTCTCTGCATTTGGATAAAACTAAGAATGTTTTAATACACGCTTGATTTGTTTGCCAGTTATCACCTCACTAATAACTGCCATTTAGCAGATGCCTATCATGTCTCCTGTGCCAGGAGAACACCAGGAACACAGAGATGAAGAGAGGTGAGGTCAGGCACTCACAGGCAAGATAATGACAAAATGATCCCCCTGTGTTTCAGATAAAAACTGCAAGGGCACTTGCTAGAAGGCTTTAAGGGTCTTTCTTACAGAGGAAGTATCAGATCATGATTTAAGATAACACTCCAAATGAGCAAGATAGTAAAACAATCATTTTATTTTAGTCTATACTATCAAAAGTTCTCATAGTAAATCATATATACTACCAAAAAATTAGTTATAAGAGATCTTTTTCCTAATATCTAGTTTCTAAATTCTATCAACTCTTCCTTCACATCTCCAAAATGTGTCACTTTCTTATCTTTCCTAATCCAAGTTAAATTACTTTCCTGTGTCTCTTGTCATCACAATAAAACTTTTAAAAGCCAAAGGAATCCTAATATAATGCAGGCATTACAGAACTTAAATAACTTTAGGGAGTTTATATGGCTCAGAATTTAAAAAGGAGAATTAGACAGCAGTAGTCACAGTAGAAACAAAATGAGACACATTATAAGGTGATTAGGCTCTTTAACCTCTTAAAAATCTTTAAAGCACATTGTAATGAGCAAGTTGAATGGCCACTTTGATTCTCCCTTATTTGAGCTTCTCCCGGGCAGATTTATGAAGAGCTGGTAGTTTGGGCCAGGCATTTTTGAGCAAAGCAATGAAATGCACTGCAGACCTCAGATTACCTAGAGATGAAAGACTTGATCTATATCGAGCTCCACAATGTCCCCATCTCTGTTTCCCCACTTCATCCCCCATCTGGAGTGTCCTCTCTCCTTTTTTCCAAACCTCCCCTTACCATTCAGATATTAATACAACAAGAAACTCAACAATTTATGTACCACAGACAATAGCAGAGGACATAAGACAGTGACATGCACATAACTTTGTCATCCCACCATTTAGACAACACCAAGCGTAGCATGCTCTTGCAGACTAACAAAACTAGATTAATAAAAACAACATTTGATGTAATTCATAGCCACATCATATATTTTAAACACAAATAAGAAAATTTATTCCCAGATAATTCTGTGAAAACTAATAAATCGAGAGAATCCTGTGAATAATGTGTAAATCCAACTCCATCTCATATTTTACTTCATTTTCATTTTAAATAAAAAGGAGACAGAGCAAACACTTCTTCTACAATTACCTGTTGTACAGGACTGCTGAATGGCCAAATCTGTTGACATCGTGGTGGAGATCAGGTCTGGGAAGCACTGACCAGCGGTCGCAGGCTAGGAGAAAGAAAAACAAATTTTCAGAAAGGACTAGCATTCACAATCATTAGGAACTGGCATTTTCCTCAGGAATAAACTGCAACAAACACGACTTCATAAAGCATGCCTCTCGATTTTCTCCAGGGTAAAATGCTGCTGCTGCAGCAGATAACATGGCAATTCTAACCAAAATCCAGGACATATAGGTCACTCACCTCACTGCCTATCAATCTGACCCACTAGCATGTTTTTTAATGTAAGCAAATTTTATATTTACAAAGCTTATGTGGGCAAAACATTGGGTTTCCATAATTATTTTCTAATCTTCTCTATATTGATTTGCCCAAATTTAGTAGCTAAAATGGATAAATACAAGCAGAAAATTAAATTTTTTAAAAATTTAAACTTTAATGTTTTACAAGTCCTTTTCTAGATCCCAGATGTACTAATTATCCTTTGTTCTGACCCATGCTAGGAACTTCTCTTCTGGACTTAATACCAACTAGTGCTGCTGTACCATGCTAACTTCACAGTGTCTCACTCTGAGTCACACACTAAGCCAAGATCTTCCACTGGATCCAGACCTTTAATCAGTCTGGACAACAACAGCTGTCATTTCTTTCTCCTACCCAGCCTAGACTCAGTGGTCTTCCCCACCTGGAGAACTGAGAGGCTATCAACTCCCTTAGCAGGAAGTCCTAAAATCACCAGGTGGCAGGAATTACTTATCCCACCACTGAAACAAGAGCTACTTCCTCTGCTTTGGGCCTCCAACCCTCTTGCTGGCTTTGATCACAGTATTTAAATAGGCCCAGGGTCAGTCTCTCTCAAAACACACCCTTTCTCTCTCTCTTTTTTTTTTTTTTTTTTTTA